TTCCGTGCTGTTGACATTTCCACTCAGAGAGTAAATGACGGAATGATAACGGTCGAAGAATAACATTGACGGAATAGTTCACCTAGTCACGTGAGAAGGAATTTTAATATTTTCTGGAACACACTCAAAACTGAAATAATTTACAGAACTTAAATCATAAAAGCAGATGATTTATTAGATCGACGTTAACAATTGTTTGATTTTTTTTACTACACAGGTATTCCTTGAGAAAAATGCGCAGAAGATGATAAGCTAAATCCAACATATCTTGGGATTAATCCATTAAAATGGCATATTCTGTATAATACGTCTAACTGCTTTATTAATATATAAAAAAACAATTAGAATAGAATAGAAAGATCTAAGTTTAATTAATATTTACACAATGTATCATTAATTATTATTGTGAACTATAGTGACAAACTCGGATATGGACATTTGAAACAAAGATATAAACTAGTGCTAATTGTAACGGGGACCGTTACAGATGTTCCCCAAACGCTCCCCATGTCCCTTTTCGTGCCTTATTCCTCTAAGACTTTTTTTTATAAATATGCTAAGTATCTACGGACTCATTTAAGAATAAAAAGTTACAATGATATCAACTATATATAGTTTTACGTTTTGCATGCGCGCACACGTACATGTACATACATATGCAAGATGATTATTGCATGTTGGTTAAGCGATTAACATATCTTTCTATCCCACGGATCAAAGAAAAAAAAATACATATATAAAGTTACCATTTTTCAAACATATGTCTTTTTTTAATGTATCGATTCAAATCTTATTTCTCTACTTATTTTAACTTCGGGCTCAAAGTTGGTTTTATTCCTACGACAAGGCAGAGTTAAAGTCGACTAAGGGTATCACGCCAATAGCTAACCAATCAAAATGAACTTATTCAATAGTAGTTCCATACGTGGAAAAGGGATTTTTCCTTTCTGTTCAGAATTTTTTTTTATATTTCCTCTCAAGCCATTTTGACAACTCTGATACCTGTGCCTAGTAAATTTTATATACTTTGTAAATAAATATATAAAGGTTTTTGACCGGAACTATTTATTTTTTCGAATGCATAGGGGGCTACTTTCTGGGGTTTACAAGAGATGTTTAAAAAGACATTCGTGTCAGCTAATGTGACCAGTATTGTTTAACACCTTCTTATTAATATTTTTTACATGAATGCAAATACCTGATTATTTTACGAAGGAGCGTACATGTAAATCGCTATTTCTGGGGATTGCGAAATTCTAAAAAAAAAATTCAAATAAATTTCAAAGGTAAAATAAACAAAGGATGCTTGGTATTAAAATATTATTTCAAATCAGTAGAATTGAATGCTATTAACGACATCTGAATAAATAGGCTATAAAAGGCTTATATACCAACTTTGTTCATCTGCACTTTAATTTTTAACACGACAGGATTTGTAATTTTTTTCCGTATAAATTAATAATTTCTATATACTTTGGAAACTCAAATAAAATATTTTAATACATTTTTCTCGAGCTCTTTTCTGCAGTTTTCCTGAAATTTTATGTGGGTCCGAGGTGTAATTTGAGTTTAACAGTGATTCTCTACGTTGCCATTAATTTGATTTGTTTGGTTGTTGCGGGGGGAGGGGGGGGGGGGGTATTTTTATTCTTGACCTATTTAACATTGGAGTTGAATCTTGTATCTTACTCAAAGAACTTAATATTGATTGTGACATTTGGATGAAAGGTCAAGGTTATTAAAAAACCATCACCTCTTTAACTTCTAACCTGCCAACCGAAATAAACTCTGAAAGGTGTTTCTAGATACATGTACATGTACTTCATGTTTCTTTATACCCTTTGGTCAAGGACAAAGGTTAAGGTCGATTTCAAGTTCATAGGTCAAGGTGATTTTGGTAAATAGCTAATATCAACATTTTATTCAGGTTACCAGTGACCTTGACCTCAGTTTCAAGGTCAAGGGTCAAAAGATCTGCATGCTTCAGTATGTTACATGTCTTGACATTTAGAAGTTCTTAATTCTGCATGAACATCAAACACTCAAGTATACTGTCTTTTAATACATTGTGTGCGGTCGCATGTGCATGCACGTCCATGTATTTACTTTTGATAGTAGTATAATGTAGGCAATCATTATATCTATTCATATTTGAAATTTCACCCTGTATTATTGAGAACCAAGAAAGTTGTAGGCATTTAAAGTTTTAGCCAATCAGATTGCGGCACACGTGCATGTGCGTGCGTTCATGATTATTCTTATATATCATGCTGTAGATCTTCATAATGTAAGACTATGTTCAAAATTTCAAAGGATTTTGTCAGAAAACAAAATAGATATTTAGACTTTAAGTTTCAGCCAATCGCAGCGAAGGGCACCTGCATGCGCGTGAGATCTTGCTATTTTGACCATGTCATCATGTCTATACTACTATTATATCCTTATATTATGAGTTTCAAAGCATTTCATCCAATATTTAAAAAGTTACGGCTAAATCTATTATATTGGTCATTTCACGTGTTACACGTGCGCGCACCTGCACGCACGTGCGCGCAAAATGACCTTCGTTCCGCACATCTACATAACATACCTAGTGACCCTAAAAAGGTTTCACCTAGATCGGATGAGTAGTTTACGAGAACACTCGCGGACAAAAAAGTACCGGAGAACAAAGAAAACATTCAGAAAAAGTAAAAACAATATGTTCCCAAACTTCGTTTGGGGAACATAATTATATTGTAGGTTAATTACAACTTTATTTTCAACTTCTTCAACACTTCAATGGTAAATCTTTACACTGTATTTCAATGGACGTAGCATCGTTTTTGAAAGTGGAGGAGGGGGCCAACCAGATCAAAGTAATGTCAACTTACCTTAAAAAAACCTGACAACCCCAAAAAGGGTGTGACTTATCCAAACTCGAAGATCCCATATATTTCGTCGGGAGGCGGGGGGGGGGGGGGGGGAGGTGGTGAATTAATTTTATGTGGAAGGGGGGGGGGGGCGCTACCGACCTTTCAATGAACATAAATCTTTCAATCGTGAAAAGTTATGTTCGTAAAAAAGTGGGACAAACCCCCTCCTACTGATGCTATATGCGCTTGCATTCCAGTAGCTGCAATAACGTAGCCCTCTCCGATTTTTTTAATCTGGTGTTTTCTTTCTCCAATTTTCAGGTTTTTCTGTAGCTTTCCCTCCTATTTTTTTCAAAAACAAAACACCCCCTCCACAAAATAAAAAAAAAAACGATGCTACGTCCCTGTAACTAGGAGATAAATATTATAACGGAGTACTTTATATACTTTACCACTTCTTCATAGCATTCATTTTGAATAATGTACAATTTTAATTTCTAGAGCAATATACCACGAAGAATGAGCAATTTGACACTCCCCCCAACTCCCATTGAATTAAAATTGAAAAAAGAAGATGGGTAAACTATGGAGAGAAATGTCGATCTTCTTAACAAACAGGGAGGTTGAAGAGAAGATATAAAAATAAATTTAAAAAATAACCTAAGTTAATTATACCATTCCCACACTCAGACGCTGTCCATTTCCACCTATAAACTAAATTCTATCACAATATGTACAAATGGAGGAATCTTCGATCGTTTAATTCACTTATTTGAAAATATTTCTTCGAAGTATGAGTTGAGATAAAGCACTTCTATGTTAAAATTACAATTTTATTGAGATACGTTTACTTCTGCAGTGAAATTTGAAGTCCTTTTGTTTTCAATCACAAACAAAAATTTAACTGTAGTGTAATCAGTGACGGATCCAGAGGGAGGGGGGGGGGTTGCCCCCTCCCCCCTTTGGATTTGCTAAAAAGGGAGAGAAATAAGAGAGTCCCACATTTTTGTTATGTTTTTTCTGTAGAAAATGTTCAGGGAAAGGTTAATGTATCTATCGTGAGAAATCATTATATAAAGTGTAGAAAAGTCGTAAAAGTAAAGTTTAAATGTTAAAACAATATTTAGATGAGAATATGCCGTATCACAATATATCTGAAGTTTCTCCTTTAAAACAGTGTTTATTTTATAAGGAGAAAGATAAGAACTTGGCAGAGCATTTTCTGGACCTGACAACGTATTTCTATATGGATTTTTCCCCTATAAAGTTCAGTCTTTAAAAAATCCGGAAAATAGATTGGTTTGGTTTTATATTTATATTGTACTCTCTAAACAAATGTTAAATGCCATTATCGCTTAAATGTGGCATTAACTTTCAAACAATATTCTTATTAACATACGATAACATTAAGCTTGTTTTGCTGATCTGGGGTATCTTGTAAATGCGTGTGCAGTCAAAAGAAAAGATTCTTTTGTTTGGGTGTTTTATTTAAAGGCTACATTATCTCTTCCGGTAAGTCTGTGAACAGAAAAAAACATATTTACTTTATTATAAATTTGACCAAATGGTACGTACGATCCACTTCAAATGAAATGCAGTTGTTTGATGTTACATAAATCTTCTTTGGAATTTCTGAATACTTTCTTTTCTCCTCGGTGATGTTAGGATTTTCATGGGCATTTAACCATTCTTTCCCTATGGAGAATGGTCACTGAGTTTTCCCTTGTTTTTATCATTTGGTTTTGTAACTCAGCAGTCTCAGTGTTAGTAAAAATGTCACATTTTTATAAAGTAATTTGAGAATACCTTTTCTGTTTGTATTTCTTACTTTGTGTGATAGCATCTATATAAAAATGCAAGCTTCTGTTTAGCCCGAGATTCCTCTGTCTCCTAAAAATGTGACCACAGGGGTTTGCTCCCGGCTTTTACTAAATATTTAATTAAATTTATACATTAAATAATATATTAAATACTGAAACGCGAAAACATCGTTTTCTCCTCAAAAATGTCCTAGAGAACATCTGGATTATTATTAACCTAAAATATGTATTGTAGAGGCTCCAAATCCAAGAGGATTATTCAAGCATTATGTCTTAGGAAAGTCAAAGCAGAGCCCATACCAAAGTATGGGAATTTAGCAAATTTTTCTATCAAGCTTTCATGTTAGTTGTCTTTTTTGTTACAGAGTACAGACTGAACAGAAATGACAACAGCAGCTCGTCCAACATTTGAACCGGCCAGAGGTGGTAGAGGGAAAAATGAAGGGGATCTCAGTGCCCTGTCCAAACAGTACTCAAGTCGAGATTTACCAGCGCACACCAAAATCAAATACAGGTATGAAGGATGTCAGAATTTACTGTTTGAAACAGCAGTAAAAATTATACCTTGTACTTGTTTGATCTTGACATAATTGATGCAAATATTTTAAAATTCATCGAGACAAAAATATTATCATTAATTCAAATTTGGACAATGATTATAATGAAGTAAGCTAAAGTCAATGGGAAAGGGTTAAACCATGAATCCTGTTAAATTAATGACACATGTAGTAATTTATAGTTTGTGTTTACAGACAGGAAGGACAAGGTACAACAGAGGAACTTAGAGGCCGTGATTTCAGAAGAGATTTAGATGAGAGGGAAAGAACTGTCAGAGAGAAGCGGGATAGAAACAGGGGTAATTGTCATTTGTACCATAAATCTGGTCCAGTAAAATATCTGAGTTTACAAATGAATTTAAAATACAAATATTACAGGGAGAAATGTCATAATTTGATGTCAGCAAAGTATGAAATTATAATTGTTATTTGCTTGCATATATTGTGTTTTAAAAGGTAATTTAAAAAAATAATTCACAATGACATCTTGCAACTTGAAATACTATAAAAAAAAATCACAAATATCCTGGTATATGCAGTGAGTTACTCTTCATAAAAGTAACCAAAACATGAAGAAATATTTGTTTTACAGAATCAGGCAGCAGTAAGAGGCCTCGCCTAGATCAGGTTCCTGCAGCTAACTTAGATGCAGATGACCCAGTCGATGAAGAGGTAAATATTGTGTTACTTTAATATCTAGTGTATGATCAAAAAATGTTCGTAAATCGGTTCAACAAAATTTTACTTAAATTGTCATGCATTCATTCCTTTTCCTTTTTGCCTTGTCCACCATCAATTTTTCTATTGTTTCTCTGTCTGACCATTAAGAAAAGAGCCAATTATGGTGTCAATACAAATGTTGCCCTGTGATTTTCTTAAACATGAAACTGATGTAAAAAATGAAAACTCATGCTTTCTGATTCATTGAAATTCCATGCAGAAAAGTAGTACAAATTATTTTTCTCACATGTTATCTAAATGCTATTTGTGACGTCATAAACGGGCATTTTCCTGTATTTTCTTGAAAAGTTGCAGAAGACACCAATTTTTAAAGAAATTTTCTGTCAGATAATGTTGTCCACAGGCATCGCCCACAAAGATTTTAAGATATGTGATTTTTCATTGAATTTTGCAAAACATATCCAAAAATTAAAGTGGGCGATGACTGTGGATTTTCTGAAGGAAAATTACCCTTGGAATAGGTCATTTTGAGGAATTTCTGTTAAAAATAAAGAAATGCATCAAATCAATGTCATATTTCGGGAATGGAACTCCCTTATGCCATATTCTTTCCTGATCTATCTTAGTCATTAACTCATTATGACAACTAATATTTGAGCCAGTATCAAAACTTTTTGAAAACATTAAATTTTTAGGGCACAATTAAGCTAAAACTGTACCTTCTTCTTTTCAAAATGCATCTCAATTTTCATTGTGATTTTTACAAAACATGGAATATTGTTAACTAAATCAAGAAAGACAATTCCATGCATTGATTTCTTGATTTGTATTTTTGCTATTTTAATATTCATAAATGTCTTTATTCCCAAACAATGTTCCATGTTGTTAATGCCCCTTTGATTTTTTTAATACTGAAATTTGTATTAATATTTCAAATATCACTAGATTTTGACTGATCCAGACTTACGTTTTATAGGATGAGGATGAGTCTTCTGATGATGAAGATGACACAGCTGAGTTAATGGCCGAACTCCAGAAAATCAAGAAGGAACGAGCCAATGAAAAAGCAAGAATGGTAAATTGCTTTGTAATATATTATGAGAATGAAGTATTTAAGGAAGTTTACTTGTAAGTACTACACCATAAAATGTTTGGGGTGTCAAAGTCCTGTCTGTCTGCCATGCTAAAAGTGTCATACTAGTGACTGTCATCCATAGTGATAAAGCTTAATGCCAGGTCACTCTTAGAAAAAATGTAAACTTGTTTCATCATTTACTTTATATACAATTGGAAAAAAGCTCAAACATGACAGAAAATTTCTTGTGTTCATGTGATGCATTCTTATTTCACCTCATTGTCAATTGGTCAAGTTTGTCTATGGCTGAAAAAAATATTTTATAAAATTATGCTATGGTGGAAAATTATTTACGATTCATAATTGACACAAATATTGAATATATCCTAAGGATTTGCATTGATGCTGATTCAGGGCCATTTGCACAAGGTCATGGAAGTTACCATTCTATGCAGGTCCAATGAGACATGTGTCAAGGTTACTTGACATTTCTTTTAAATTTCTTGGTGATGCATGTTGTATTGAATTTTTAGGATGCAGAGAAGAAAGCAGAGGAGGAGAGAATTAGAACCGAGAATATTCTGAAGGGGAATCCCCTACTAAACCAGCAGGAGAAAAATGCCACAGATTTCAAAGTCAAGCGAAGGTTTGTAACAAAGTGTTCAGAGGTTATAGAGTCTAAGTCGAGCAAAAGTATATATAACAGAGTCAAGAAACTCAAGTGAAGGTATAGAACAAAGTGTTCAGAGGTTAGGGAGTCAAAGTCAAGCGAAAGTATATAGCAGTTCAGAGATTAGAGAGTTTCTGAGGTCTAAAGAACAGGGTATTATGAATTCCTTCAGTTTAATATTTTGAAGACTATAGTTGCATCAAAAGAGGCTATTTAAATCCTAATACACTGAAAATAAGTTAAAATGGGTCATTCTGATGAATAATAGAAGATACTTGATGATTGAAAGTTAAGTAATTCACCTACAAAATAATGCAATTGGTACTGCATGATTTTCATACTTTTTTGCGAGAAGGAAAACACTAAGAATGCGACAAGAGGATATGATTAGGTACTGCTAATTTTGATTTAAAATGTTGCTTTGTTTTGATGTAGGTGGGACGACGATGTTGTGTTTAAGAACTGTGCTAAAGGAGAAGACGATAAAAAAAAGAGTGCATTCATTAATGACACCCTGAGATCAGAATTCCACAAAAAATTCATGGAGAAATATGTGAAATAAATTGAATCTCTATGTGAATAAGAAGACATAAAGAGCTAAAATTACAAAGTACAGCAGCTGATTTGTTCTGTGAGGTCTTCTTTGAATGGCTAGAGAATCTTATGTGTGTCAAAACAGAGTGACCGGTAAATGGAGGACTAAGAACATGTCACATTGCTTGAAGGAACACAGAATCCTACAGGCTTTTGAAAGATGGTCTCTTTCAGTTAATAACATATTACTTTATCAATATGAAATGTATAGACTAAAAAAAATTGTTGTCTTACATGTTTCCGATGAAAGTAGCATATGAGTTTAAGGACCCACTCAAGGCAATTCTTTCAAGCAAACTGTGTGTAAGCACTATTTTGGAAATTTTCTATTTTTTTTCATATTATCAAAACACAAATTTGCTGTTACAAGTGTGTTTCTTTAAAAAAAAAAACCCCATTCATATCGATGGAGAAAATGCTTTTTCAGTTTTACTTGCAGTAGCCCTATAAACAACATAGGTATAAAATTAATCCTACTAAAAAAAGTAATTTTAATGTAATTTAAGGCACATTTCAAAAATATGATTAGAAATATTTATAAGTTGTGAATTGACAGCAGAGCTGTTTTAAAAATTGATATTTCTTGCATTTTAAAACTTGGTATTGATATGTTAATTAAGCTTTATACAAATACTTCATGAATCAGAAAATCTGACCAATTTCTGGTTGTCTAGTAGTCAGGTATCTTTTTTTTAACTGTATGATCACTTATGCTTTTACAATTTGTTCATTTTTAAAATCAGTTTCATATAAATGTGTGATTATAATATTTGTAATAATAAAACTTGATAATATTGTGAGATTGGCATCATTTTGTTTTTGTTGTATTATGAATATGAAATGTACAGATAGACATCAGAAGTGGCCTCTTGATTCATGACTTTTACTGTGAAGAGAAATAAACTTACTACATGTAGTATAAAAAGGGTATGGTAATTCCAAGAAAATTTAAACGGCACTCTATGCCGCAACAAGTTTTCATGAGAGCACTTTTTAACATTTTTTATATTATGAAGTTAATAACAAATGATATTTGAATGGAATTATATCATATGTAAAATTAATCAGCATTTTGATCTTGTTAATTCTGTTTTCAAATTCTAAAGGAATATTAAAAGTATTTTAATTAAAAAAAAATAATATCAGGAGACTTTGTCTTGTCTAATCAGTAAAAAGTAGAGTTAAATGAGTTTGTCTTAGTAAGAGATGCTAAGGGAGGTAGATATCAATACTGAGATACAGTGAGTATAACAACAACATCACATCCTTAATCTGAACAACAATAGCTTGATATGTTTGTCAACCAGACTCCTGTACCATTTATCTAGTTTGTTATTTAATTAAGAATAAAAAAAGCTTTTAAGATTGCACTAACTATTAGTTTAAAATCTATTTTTCATGAGTTTTCTTCCAATCCTAACCTTGGAAGTACATAAGAGGTGAAACCATATGGCCAAAGCATATTATAACATACACTCGGACTGTATCATGAATGATCATTCTCTAAATTTCTTTTTTTTTTTTTGAGAGAGAGAAAAGTTATAAAGAGTTGTAGATCATTTCACCAAACATATGATAACAATCCCCTTTTTAAAAACTAAAGTGTTCCAATGAACGCATGTATCGCCTGCTTTTAGCTAATCTTTAAAGATGCAACTTAATCTAAGCCATTTATAATTGCCACTAGCATTAACAGTATTTCATGCCAAAAAAAAAATCTAGCATGATAGTTCACAAATGCTCAAAAAACATGCACACATAATATGAGACTGTGATAGAGTCTGTCAATCAAAAAATTAATGATTCTCAACTCTCAAATGAATAATGAAGTTGAAATCATTATAAATAATTATCATTTTTCATGTGTTATAAATACAAGTTTTAAAGTCTTTACACCAATTGTCACTCTACACGATCCGATGTGGGATCTCGATCCCAATCCCGATGTATTTTCATAATATATTAGTTTTTGTGGTAATTACTGAATATCATAAGTTTCAGTGAAGTGTATTATGAGCTCATATTGATAAACATGTTATAAATGCTAAATATGCTGTATATTGGCACTTTTAACTTTCTGGTAAAGTAGGTCAAAGGACAAGGTCAAGGGTCACAAGGTCGGTAACCATGGCAATTTACAAATGTCATAAGGCCAAGCAATAAATGTGCAAAATATCGAGTCCGTATCTCTTGCAGTTCTTGAGATACAAGGTTTGACTGACGGACAGACAGACGGCAGGTAAAGTGATTCCTAGTAGTGCCTGTCTGCTCTGCAGGCGACACAATGATTGCTTTGATTGTTAGAGAGATCGAGAGGAGTGAAAACATTTTTTCTTTGCAAGTTTGTTTTTAAGTACATAACTTATGTCATTAGAAAAGATTTTCGTGTTTTGATTTAATGTTCAGTAGACCTAAGAATATGTATAACGTTGTTTAAAAAAATGCTGCACGATTTCCCTATGGGAGGAGTAGTACGAGTTCTTGCCCTTTATTTTTTCGATCTCATTTTGTATTTCCCGCCACATGCATGATGACTACCGGAAGTTAAATCTCTAGTTTCACTTTCATGTTTACTTTACCCAAGAGGTCGTCCGTAAATTAATGTAAAAGAAATCTGTAACTGAATACCCATCCAGGCCGAGTGAAACACGATCCGTGTCCAACCATCCACTAAAATGAAGCGAGTGGCGAACTGTCTTGTCGGTTTTTGCAGGCGATCAAGGTTTCATCTGCATGGGAAACATTTAAAACCGTCAGCTGTGCTGATGTCGGTTGTGAGACATTCCAGTGGTGGGACACGGCGGGTGGATGTCAGCGGTATCTACCCACCCATTGCCACGCCCTTTAACAAGGACGAGAGTGTAGCCTACGACAAACTGACTGAAAACATGCAGAAGTGGAATAAGATACCGTTTGGGGGTAAGATAATTGTGTATACTGATGTAGGTCAAGCAACAAACTAGATCTAGGTGTATGTCAGACAACTGGTAAGAATTTTTACAAAGGGATAAACCATATTCTTTATGTTGTAGTGTGCACATTTCTTCACCTAATAATTCTGTCTAATAATTACAATTAATTTAAGATTTTGATCTTAATTGTGGCTTGAGAATATGACTATAGTACTGTAAATCACTTTTTATTCGCGAGAACTTTATTTTCGCGTAATTACGCGAGACAGTATGCTCGCTAAAATTTCATTCTCATGTATAATAGAATTCCTTAAGATTATATAGAGCAATGACCACAATTCGTGAAAATTTTGTCTCGCTAATAAAATGTCGATGACTATCTCGCGAAAATAAGGTTTCGCGAAAATTAAGTGATCTACAGTATACTGAGAAGCACAAAGAATTATGATAATATTCTCTATAGCTGAGTGTGGTTACTGTGTTGTCTTTATATAACATCTGTAAGATAATGTTTTGTAGGTTATGTTGTACAGGGGTCCAATGGAGAATATGTATATCAGACACCAGAGGAAAGGATCAAGGTCGTGGAATACGTCGCTAAGACAGCCACCTCAGACAAGGTCATCATGGCAGGCTCTGGATGTGAATGTAAATTCAATGTACTGTTTTACCAAATATTCGTAGGATATATAGATCCATGATTTGTTTCTGAACACTATGGAAAATGATTGTTTATGTATATTGTGTTTATTTCATTTAACATACGTATGATATTTATGAAGAATTTGATTAGAATTTCATAATTTTGATGTTTTGCAGAAATTCTAATGCTTTATAAAATAACAATTTTGTCTTATTTATAGCCACCAGAGATACAATAGAGATGACCAATCAGATGGCGGATGTAGGAGCACACGCTGCTCTAGTGGTCACTCCTAGTTACTACAAGAATGGCATGCACAACAGGGCTCTGATCATCCATTTTACAAAGGTTCATATCTAAAAATTCTGTATTGGCTGCAGATCTATAGCCTTATGATTTTAAATGTGGTCTTTGACCATAAAGCTACAGATCCCGTAATCCAAAAATTTAATGTGCAATTTATGGTGCAAGATTATTTGCACACTGTTTGGGATAATTTCTCTACTTTCCAACTTTGGTAAATCATATACCTTTCCCTCCATAATGCTAGACACATTTTTAGCTCTACTGGTCAGAGACCAGAAGAGCTTATGCGATAGTAATGCGTCCGTCGTCCGTCCGTCTGTCTGTCTGTCTGTCTGTCTGTCTGTCCGTCTGTCTGTCCGTCTGTCTGTAAACAATTTTTCAAAACGCTACTCCTCCTACAATTTTAGTCTGATTTCAATATAACTTGGCACACAAGTAGACTACACTAAGATACATAAAATAGTGCATCGGTTTTTGATTTTGATGAACAGTGTTGCCATGGTTACTAAAAATAGAATTTCCTGTGAAATTCTTTTAAAATGCTACTCCTTCTACAGTTTTGGTCTGATTTCATTATAACTTGGCACACAAGTAGACTACACTAAGATACATAGAGTAGTGCATCGGTTTTTAATTTCGATGAACGGTGTTGCCATGGTTACTAAAAATAGAATTCTCTGTGAAATTCCTTTGAAACACTACTCCTTCTACAGTTTGGGTCTGATTTCAATATAACTTGGCACACAAGTAGACTACACTAAGATACATAGAATAGTGCATCGGTTTTTAATTTCGATGAACGGTGTTGCCATGGTTACTAAAAATAGAATTTTCTGTGAAATTCCTTTAAAACGCTACTCCTTCTACAGTTTTGGTCTGATTCCAATATAACTTGGCACACAAGTAGACTACACTAAGATGCATAGAATAGTGCATCGGTTTTTGATTTCGATGAACGGTGTTGCCATGGTTACTAAAAATAGAATTTTCTGTGAAATTCCTGTAAAACACTACTCCTTCTACAATTTTAGTCTGATTTCAATATAACATGGCACACAAGTAGACTACACTAAGATACATAGAATAGTGCATCGGTTTTTAATTTCGATGAACGGTGTTGCCATGGTTACTAAAAATAGAATTTTCTGTGAAATTCCTTTAAAATGCTACTCCTTCTACAGTTTTGGTCTGATTTCAATATAACTTGGCACATAAGTAGACTACACTAAGATGCATAGAATAGTGCATCGGTTTTTGGTTTCGATGAACGGTGTTGCCATGGTTACTAAAAATAGAATTTTCTGTGAAATTCCTGTAAAACACAACTCCTTCTACAATTTTAGTCTGATTTCAATATAACTTGGCACACAAGTAGACTACACTAAGATACATAGAATAGTGCATCGGTTTTTGATTTCGATGAACGGTGTTGCCATGGTTACTAAAAATAGAATTTTCTGTGAAATTCCTGTAAAACGCTACTCCTTCTACAGTTTTGGTCTGATTTCAATATAACCTGGCACACAAGTAGACTACACTAAGATGCATAATTCTGTATATCGGTTTTTGATTTCGATGAACAGTGTTGCCATGGTTACTAAAAATAGAATTTTCTGTGAAATTCCTTTAAAACGCTACTCCTTCTACAGTTTTAGTTTGATTTCAAAATAAGTTGGCACACAAGTAGACTACACAGAGATACATAAAACAGTGCAATGGTTTTTGATAAGTACAAACCAGTAGAGCTACAGTCTCGACAGAGACTTCTGGTTTAATAAATCTGCATATTTTATACACCTCTCAACCCTTTATAGTCGCCTCTACAGGCGATAAACTCGCTTGAATTAGAATTTTCTGCAATTCGTCAGACAATACTCAAATCAAGCCAGTTTATCACCTGTAGAGAATACTATAAAGGGTTGAGAGGAGGATAAAATATACAGACTGGTTTATGAAAGTGTCTGAAATTAGGGGATGAAAGGTAGATGATTTACCAATTTTGGAAAGTGGAGAAATCCTCCCAAACAGTGCAAAAAAATCTTGCCCTGTAAATGGCACATTTTTTGCATTACAGGATCTGTAGCTTTATGGTCAAAGACTAAATCGATAAAACCATAACTCAGTTCTGCAGTTATATCTGTATACTGGAATTCTTTACCATTGTCATGTGCCTTTTGAAATCTAAAGCACTATTTTTGTCAGATGTTTATGTAAAAAAGTAATCCTGAACATCTAAAGTGGTACATGCACTGTAATATATTACATTTAACATCTAGTAAGATATTTTGTGGTCAATGAATGCATGTCTAGTTGTAAACGTCCTAATCTACATGTAATATTGATATTAGTGATGTACTTGATTTAGCCTGTGCTGCCTTTTGCCTAAGCTGCTAAATATAGTATAAAGGCAAATGTAATAAATGAACATTTACAGTATTTCACCATCTCTGAACTCTAGGTTGCTGATGCCAGTAAGATACCCATACTTTTATACAGTGTTCCAGGCAACACAGGCATTGACCTTGACCCAGAAGTCATCATAACCTTGTCCTCTCACCCAAATATAATTGGACTAAAGGACAGTGGGGGAGATGTAAGTATTCTGTAAAAAATAAGGATTGAAATGGATTCAAATACAAAATGAGAATCTCTTCTTCGAATTGTTGGCAATCAAAATTTGTTTTCCTCTTTATGTTGTTTAAAAAATGAAAACAATATAAATTAATGGGTTACAGATGATGGAAATTTTGTATTTAGACCCAGAATCATTCCTAATAAATCTGTGAAGAAAAATATAACTTTTGATTGGCAATATTGCAAATCAGATAAGGATATTCATGTTATGCATTAGTTTCTTTGTTGACGTACAATATCTATAGAGTTAGAATTTTGCATATCAGATGTTTAGCACATTAGCATCTATTTCTTAAAAAAATTAAATCTTAGACTAAGACAAAAAGATGTTTTTTAAAGTTTGATATCTTGCTTTGACTTTGACATTGAAGGCTTACTTTTAGTTGGGCATTTTCTTTGCTCAGAAATATATCCATTGCAATGCAGAGATTTTGTTTTCTTAACAATCTTTCTTCTTAGCTCAAATTGAACTGCTTAGACTTATATTGACTGTAAAATCTGAAAACTGACTTTTTAATTCTTGATATTATTACCTTTTAATTTTTTTTTACAGATAGCAAAGCTTGCTAATTTGGTGTACAAGACCCAGGGTAAAGATTTCCAGATAATGGCAGGGTCTGCTGGATTCTTGCTGCCAGCTTATCTTGTGGGTTTGTATATCTATGTATTATTTGCATTTGACTCCTGAGTACATAGACTGAATACTGTGCTTGTGTTAGGTGTTCAGATAGATTTACCAGTACCAGAAAGACTCAGTTGATGAAGTACATGTCTAAAGTGTATGTGTCACATTTCCTCCATACCACAAATGGAAAAGTCATTAAATTTTCAATGTATGTGTACTAGTAAAATTACTATTGTTTTAAGTTTTTTGGTCAGCCAATTTAAGGTTTTTTACAGCTTAAAAGTCTTAAGGATTGGATTTGTTTCAAATGAAACAATTATATGTTGGTGTCTTGGTGGGATCTGGAATATAGAATTCTGTGTCTGATACCAGTGTATGTTCTATGATGTGTGAATGGGATCTCATACATGAAAAAAAAACCCAGTTTGTCTTAGGTTGTATAAATATCTTGTGCACTAGATATGACTGTGTTGAAAGTATTGTAGATGTATATGGAATCAGGAACAATTATGCTTTGTAGGTTGTTTTTTTTTTTAAAGCTGATAAACTTGTGTTATAGGTTGCAATGTTGGGATCTACAACATCAGTTTCAGTTGTGTGTTATAAGTTGTGTGTGTAGATTCCGATACACTAGATATAACTAATGTTGTAAGCTATGTATGTTTGATCTGATAACCTAATAATTTGTTGTTATGTAGTAGGAATTGGTTGTTAGGTGTGATTGTTTTGTAGGTTGTTTGTATGGGGTTGTAGAGACTAGCAATGATTTGTTGTTATGTAGAATTGGTTGTTAGGGAAAACCCTGTTTTGTAGGTTGGTTGTGTTGTAGAGACTAGCAATGATTTGTTGTTATGTAGTAGGAATTGGTTGTCTGATACTCTGTTTTGTAGGTTGTGTTGGTGGGGTGTGTGGGGCAGCTAACATGCTGGGGCAGGAACTCTGTGATTTAGTATGACTCTGTTTTGTAGGTTGTGTGGGCGGGGTGTGTGGGACAACTAACATGCTTGGGCAGGAACTCTGTGATTTAGTATGACTCTGTTTTGTAGGTTGTGTGGGCGGGGTGTGTGGGGCAGCTAACATGCTGGGGCAGGAACTCTGTGATTTAGTATGACTCTGTTTTGTAGGTTGTGTGGGCAGGGTGTGTGGGGCGGCTAACATGCTGGGGCAGGAACTCTGTAATTTAGTATATGACTCTGTTTTGTAGGTTGTGTGGGCGGGGTGTGTGGGGCAGCTAACATGCTGGGGCAGGAACTCTGTGATTTAGTATGACTCTGTTTTGTAGGTTGTGTGGGCGGGGTGTGTGGGGAAGCTAACATGCTGGGGCAGGAACTCTGTGATTTAGTATGACTCTGTTTTGTAGGTTGTGTAGGTGGAGTGTGTGGGTTGTGTAGATGGAGTGTGTGGGTTGTGTAGGTGGAGTGTGTGGGGCAGCTGGGACAGGAACTCTGTGATTTAGTATGACTCTGTTTTGTAGGTTGTGTGGGTGGGGTGTGTGGGGCAGCTAACATGCTGGGACAGGAACTTTGTGATTTAGAGCAGCTGTATAAAGAAGGAAAGATGAAGGAAGCCACAATATTACAGCAGAGAATTGTCGCTCCCAATGCATGCGTGAGTTAACTTCATTCATTGTTATTTCTAGGTCACCGGAGTAACTCAGGTGACCTATTGCTATCCGTTTTCGTCCGTCGTCATCCGTCGTGCGTCGTGTGTTAACATTTGAACATTTTCAGCTTCTTCTCTGAAACCACTGAACCAATTTCAACCAAATTTGGTATACTGCATCTATGGGTGGAGGGGAACAAATATTGTGAATTTTATGATCCCCGCCCCCCTGGGGCCTGAGGGGTGGGGCCAAAACCACTAAAATTAATGAAATCTTTAAAAATCTTCTTCTTTACTCCTGGACATCAAGCAGGCAAACTATTGGCATGAATGTAATGAGCATTGAGTCCTCTACCAAAATTTTGAAATTCAAGGCCCCAGGGTCAGGGGTTCTAGTGCTAGGGCGGGGCTCTATAGATTATATAGTGAAAATGCATTATTTCTTTGAAAATCTTCTTCTCTGCTCCTGGGTATTAAATACACTAACTAAGCACATAGTTATGTTGAGCAAGAGTGCCTCTTCCAGATATGTGAATTTCATGGCCCCAGGGTCAGGGGTTCTGGTGTTAGGGTGGGGCTCTATAGATTATATAGTGAAAATGCATTATTTCTTAGAAAATCTTCTTCTCTGCTCCTGGGTATTTAATAAACAAATTAAGCACATAGTTATGATGAGCAAGAGTGCCTCTTCCAGATTTGTGAATTTTATGGCCCCAGGGTCAGGGGTTCTGGTGTTAGGGCGGGGCTCTATAGATTATATAGTGAAAATGCATTATTTCTTAGAAAATCTTCTTCTCTGCTCCTGGGTATTAAATACACTAACTAAGCACATAGTTATGATGAGCAAGAGTGCTTCTTCCAAAATTGTGAATTTTATGGCCCCAGGGTCTGGGTTCTGGTGTTAGGGTGGGGCTCTATAGATTATATAGTAAAAATGCATTATTTCTTTGAAAATCTTCTTCTCTGCTCCTGGGTATTAGATAAACTAACTAAGCACATAGCTATGATGAGCAAGAGTGCCTCTTCCAGATTTTTGAATTTTATGGCCCCAGGGTCAGGGGTTCTGGTGTTAGGGCAGGGCTCTATAGATAATATAGTGAAAATGCATTATTTCTTTGAAAATCTTCTTCTCTGCTCCTGGGTATTAAATATACTAAATAAGCACATAGTTATGATGAGCAAGAGTGCCTCTTCCAAAATTGTGAATTTTATGGCCCCAGGGTCAGGGGTTCTGGTGTTAGGGCGGGGCTCTATAGATTATATAGTGAAAATGCATTATTTCTTTGAAAATCTTCTTCTCTGCTCCTGGGTATTAGATTAACTAACTAAGCACATAGTTATGATGAGCAAGAGTGCCTCTTCCAAAATTGTGAATTTTATGGCCCCAGGGTCAGGGGTTCTGGTGTTAAGTCGGGGCTCTATTGATTAGATAGTAAAAATGGAAGTGCATTTTCTCTTTGTTACTCTGATCTACCTCTGGGTGTTAAGTAAATAGAGTAAGCATGCTATTGTTAATAATTATGATATGCAATGGTGCCTCTTTCAAAATTGTAAATTGTGAATTTCATGGCCTCCGGTTTAAACACGAACCAAATTTAATTGTTTGAAAGTTGTTACACAATACTCAGGTGACCTATAAGGCCCGTGGGCCTCTTGTCTTGGTGTATTTTTTCTGATTTGTTGAATATATAGATATCCTCTTATCTTGAAGGATAACAGAAATACTGTAAATCTGGAAATTTTTTACGTTTCAAAGATTTTATTTTTCGAACGTGGGTCCAAAAGCTACTGTTTAATTTTTATTTCAAAATTTTGCAAAGGAACTGCTTTGTTTACATTTATTATTGATAATTTATTTTTAAGAAAAATATTTTTTGCAAAAAATAAAAGTGAAATCGCAAATTTGCTAAAAATTTATCTCCAACAAAAATTTCCAGATTTACGGGATGTCAATGTTCTGATTAAAAAAGTAAAAATCCTTGTTTAAAAAGGGCAAAGATCACAATGTTATAAGAATTCATTCTTTTTAGTGTTGGCAAAAATTTCCAAATTAAAATGTCTTTTATTATATTTCCATGTGAAAGGTTAAATGAACATTTAAGTTTTGATATTATACTGAAAATTTGAGAAAAATATTAACTTCAAATCTGTGTTTAAGCACCTTTAAGATCTGTGTATATAAAATGAATATATACTCAACAAAAAAAAAAATGCATATTGTTTAATTCATCAAAGAAATTTTTAAAAGTATATGGAACAACTATTTTTTTATCATTGGAAACACTGTGACCTATTTAAAGTACATCATGGGCTTTAAAGAATCCTATTGTTGAATTATTTCCCTTGATTAATCATGTTCATTAAAATAGTGTTTTGCATGATTTCTTATAAACTTTTAAAAGTTAAGGTTTAATCTTGAAAACTTTTATATGTTAAATCTGAATATGTGGGGTTTTTTTTACTTTTTGTTGAGTATATATATACATGTTAATTAATTAATTTGATGCAAAAGTATCAAGTACACTACATTAGTTGATTATTTCTGCAATACCAGATTTGTGTGTTACTTATACTGAACAACATTTACACATGTAAAAATGTATGTTGAGGGAACTTTATGTTTGTTTCAACAGTTTCATAAAAGCATTTATACCCTATTTGTTTCTGATATTGAAATGGAAATTTTTAGGTAACCAAGAGGTTTTTTTCACCTGAAGGTTGCCATGGAGTGGTTTGGTTACTAATGGAGGCCCAGTAAAAGGTCACCATTTCAGCCAATCACAACTTATCAGGAAATAATTGAGGACTGTGTTCAAATCCTCAGGGTTTCTCACATGAAATTTTACTGTAATTATTGTAATATATTAATAAAAGTATTGGTTGAAGTATATACTTTTTATAATTGAAGTGTTTCATATAAAAATTTGTGAATGGAGACATTAAAACATGTTATCTAATACAGTTGAACATCATTATCTTGAATGTCAATATAATCTTGACTTGGAGGATTCAGCTTTTTTGTTCCTGGAGTTCGTCCCAGCTAACAAGGCTTGAAAAATGTATATTCTGTAATCAGTATCTATTTTTTGATGTTTGTATAAGATTCGAAAGAGATAATTTTTTTATCTGAAAATATATTCTTTTAAAATAAAAACATTGTTTTGTATATTTTTTCTCTCTCTAGATTAATTCGTCTTTTGTTGCTTTGTTTTTATGTCAATGAGCTTCCATTTTTTTTTGAGAGAAACGGGCAGGTTTAGTTCAATTTTTAATTTCTTTCAGAATCCTTTTACTTATGCTCAGTATAACTGCAGACAAATTAAACGATTGCATTGATCGTTTATATTGAAACTACACATGGAAGTCTTTCAAAGTTTGATGAACCGAAAAGTTAACATGACCCGTAAAAGGGCGCCTTTTATGACTGAATTTTCAATCCTTTTAATTCTGTTGAAAAGGAGTTCACTTAAAATGGATTATTACTCAAAAAAAGAAGCGAAATTTCCTTATTTTGATCCAAACTTTGAAATATTCCACTGTTGGTCTTAAAACTCTTGTTGACCACTGAAAAAATGGACGATGTCTACAAACGTTTGAAGAGAAAGTTAATCAACAACGGTTTTTTTACGCGTGTGATCAAACATTTTACCGACAGGAAACAGTGGTGCAGGACTTGTGTTGTGGAAAGATGAAATAGAAAATTTTATGCGGTTCCCCTCACATAGAAAAAAAGTGAAATGGCAGGACATTGACGTATCTTTACTGTCGGGGAATGAAATGCGAAGGCGAGGGTAGAACTGTGTCGTATATATGTCCGTGACGCGGGAACTTTCAAATATGACATTCAAACAATGCTTTCTATTACAGAACTGTAGATATTTTTTAGTGGGAGATAACATAAGAAATTTCCAATTTAAAGTGAGAAATATTGACTTTGCTCACACAGAGGACTTTGTAATATCTAACAGAAGCCTGAAAAAATCGAAAGTACTTTAATACATTTCTTTCAACACCCTTCTCACAAAACTTATGAATGGGCTTTAATAACTGTGAATAAGTTAAAAGCATTACAGGCAAATGAAAACCAAAGTTTGGTGGACATTGAAGCACGTTTATGAAAGTATAACAGAAATTTGTATTGCAGACGTTTTGAGTTTTTGTCCATTTTTGAAAGTAGAATAAGAAGTTTTCCAAAAATATTATTGCTGATCGGACTTTCTCTGACTATACCGGTTATTGCTTTCATAGTAAGAAACTTTGGCGGTTTGGAAGAAAAGGGTAAGCTTTTTTCATGATATTATGTACAGATATTTAAAAAAAAAACAAAAAAAAAAAAAAACGTAATATACTGAAAAACTCCCAAATTAAAATGATTAAAAAGATATTGAGTCTAATTAAATAGTCATTTAAATGACGACATTGCTAAGACACGTTTGATGTTATTTTAATTATTAATTTGTTATACTGAGTTGAGTTAAATTGAAGAGTTTTATATAACTTCTTATGGAAAGTAATGTTTATAAAAGATTCATTCTCACAGCGTCAGGGGTTATTAAAACTTTGAATCCGGGATCATTTCAAGTTTAAAGTAAACCCTTGATGTTTAACAATGTAATAGATTATAATCCTAACAGTAGGCCTAGGGACCCAAACTCAACATAGACATACTGGAAATACATGAAACTGTGTGGAAGATATTTCAAGGACGCATCATCAATTAACAAAGGTAACTTCTATTCTTTGAATGTCTAATACGGTATATTTTGGTGAGCTTGAGATAAAAGATACCCCAGAGTCTGACACATCTGTTTCATTTTGGATATTTTGCTTGAAAAAGACAAAAGTAATCTAACAACCAAGTTCTATGATAAACGTGATGACTTTATACCATCATCACCTGCATATGGAGTTTATATATCTCAGTTGATTCGATACGCAAGAGCATTTCTGTTATGATTTTTTATAAAACGAGAAGTAAATTATTGACAAGCAAGTTGATGAAACAAGAATATCAGCAGTCTCCTTTAAAGTCATAATTTCGTAAGTTCTATGGTCGATACAATGACCTCGTCAGCAAATACAACTTATCATTTACACACAATACTGATTGACGTTTTAGTGACCTATTTTAATATCTGTATTCATATGAAGCAGAATTTTTCTAAATCTTATAACAATGAACTAACAATTTGTATGAAAAACGTCAGTCAGCTTTTGCCTCTATGATATATTGTTTTTATTAACAAGGTCCATGTATCAACCATAGAATTTACAATATCAACTTTATAAATTTAAATGCTGATGAAACTTGTTTGTCATACTTAATTGTTAAAAAATCAACTGAGATATATAAACTCTTTATGTTTGATGAAGGTATTGCTGTATCTTTTGGTTAGAGAAGTTGACGATAGAAAAGTAAGAGTCATCTCGTTTATCATAGAGCTTGGTTGTTATATTATCATTAAAGCTGAACACGACTCATAAATAGGCATACGCCATTTTCGATATCATTATCTACGATATATCAACACCAGGGTATACTCTTCAGATTCGTCACACCTGACTGCTTTATTTTCATGGATATCGGCGTGGAATGGCGACCCATGTTTGTGCTGGTTATCTTGCATTAATTACATTTGTTTACATTTTTTTGCAGTTATACATGTATCTGTGTTTGTGTACTGCACTGACCTGTACAACTATAATTTTAAGTTTGTTTGGTATCTTACTTTCCTGCATTAGACGAAGTATTACGTTATTATTGTCTCTACCGAGTGCAGCTGCTGTATAGCATACATCTGTCTACATCGTTGTCGACTGAATACACTAAACAGGTATAGCAATTCTCCGAACAAAAATGGCGGACACATTCCTTTTATGAATTCTGTTCAGCTTTAACATCTTTTTAAAGTAAAATATCCAAAAATGAAACAGATGTGTCAGACTGTATGATATCATTTATCTCATGCTCACCAGGATATATTGTATCGATATAAGAATGGAAATATTCATTGTTATTTGACGATGCGTCGTCGATATATGTAAATGTCGAGTTGAAGGCCATAACAAGTGTTTTCTTCTTTTCACGTATAAGATTGGGAAAAATTCTGCTTCATATAAATACAGATATTAAAATAGGTCTCCTTATAATGGGGCGCAAGTGGTACCCATAGGAATTTCAATAGATTTATGGAAAACCTAAATGTTGTAACTGATTTAAGGTCCTCATTATTAACTAATGTCTTTTTAGGTCACCTTAGTAAACTCAGGTGACCTATTGCTATCCGTTTTCGTCCGTAGTCGTGCGTCGTGTGTTAACATTTGAACATTTTCAGCTTCTTCTCTGCAACCACTGAACCAATTTCAACTAAATTTGATATACAGCATCTATGGGTGAAGGGGATTAAAAATTGTGAATTTCACGATCCCTGCCCCCCTAGGGCCTGAGGGGTGGGGCCAAAACCACTAAAATTAATGCAATCTTTAAAAATCTTCTTCTTTACTCCTGGACATCAAGCAGTCAAACTGTTTGCATGATTGTAATCAGCAATGAGTTCTCTACCAAAATTGTGAAATTCATGGCCCTGGGTTCAGGGGTTCTAGTGCTAGGGCGGGGCTAAATAAGTAGGTAGTGAAAATGGATTATTTCTTTGAAAATCTTCTTTTCTGCTCCTGGGTATTAAATAAACCATTTAAGTATATAGTTATGATGAGCAAGAGTGCCTCTACCAAATTTGTTAATTTTATGGCCCCAGGGTCAGGGGTTCTGGTGTTAGGGCGGGGCCTATAGATTATATAGTGAAAATACATTAAATCTTTGAAAATTTTCTTCTCTGCTCCAGGGTATTAAGCAGATGAACTACCTATATAGTTATGATGGACAAGGGCCCTAATCTTCCAGAATTGTGAATTTAAAGGCCCCAGGGTCAGAGGTACCATAGAGGGAAGGGGGGCTGTACTTATGTACTGAAAATGAATGAATGGTTTGAAATCTGCTCTTTGGTATTAATCAAATATCAAGGCCTAAGGGACAGGGGTTCATGTGTGGTAGGGGCACTACTGATTATTGCTGAATATAACTGATTAGTTGAAATGCATTTTTAGCCGGGCTTATTGCTCAAAGAGCAATTGCCGGCTTATGTGGTCCTGTTCAAGGCAGGATGTTGACCCCATAGTCGCCATTTTAAAGTTACGTGCAAAACTATAGATCTTACTCTCAACCGCTTTTTAGATAATACAAACGCTAAATAAAGCAACAAAAATAAAACGAAGTTTTATCGATATAAAATAAACATTAGTAGTAATGACTTTGAAAACTTCATAAGTCAAAGAACATAGTTCATTAGCGTAAGGATTTTTGATAATCAGCGTTACCGTAGTTCTTTACACATACGAGTTAAAGCAGGAGAGGGAACCAGACTGGCCTGTTTGTTTACATTCAGCTACGGTACCAGATTAATTCTGATTCTGACAAAATCGGACCGTGGTATTAGGATTGAAAAACTCACTGTCAGTGTCTTATCATTCATATTGATAGTTCTAAAATAATTTTTTCATCAGAATATAACGTAATTCATGTAAGAAATCCATTCTACTCTGTAAATGAGCCCGGCTCTCTGTACTTCTGAGTACTTTGATTTGTTCCCCTACCCTGCGTATGGGTATTAAGTAAACAAACTAAGCAACTGCTAAGTGTATTGTTATGGTGATCAATGGTGCTTCTTTCAATATTGTGAATGCCATAGCATCTGGCTTAAA